AGAGGGTTTTGGGGCCCATTATGCTATAGTTATAAAAAGGAGCCCCCAAAATAGTATTGGCATCTCTATATTATCATAAACTCAGCAGACTCTGCAACCCCGAACTACGGCAACCCCATACTAAAATCTGACGCCGCTTTCCATCCGTTGCAGGAAACCCCAACAAATCTCGGAGGCACGTGGCTGTGCCGACGAAGGTCGCAGTGGCATCCTACGGCAAGCAACTTAATCTCATGCAGGGTTCGATCTGCTAGTTTCCGAAAATTACGGGTGCCGTATGTTGAGGTCCTTATGATAAGGATCCTACTCTTTAAGGTACTGTATTCGGGTCCCGCATAGACGGAAACCCCCATTTAGGGGTTTAGGGGTCTCAGGGGGACAAAACGTAACCTCGTCAGCCTTGCAGACGGGGATCGGAAGGGATTTGTTTTGTGTCACCCTGAGAGCCCAATACCCCTTAATTGAGCAATCTACCTTAAATTATCAGAGGCTTCATATTGTGATTTAAGCTATATTCCTTAATTAAGGGGTACTGGGCTCTCTGGGCACGCTCAGGGAGGAAATTACCTATTGTAAACCGACCTCAAGCCCTCAGAATCCTTCGACACCGGAAACCTTTTCCTTGTCAAAACCTCTGGCAGATCCGTTCGGCTCGATATGAGCAGTTCATGGTTCAGGGCTTAGGGTTCAGTTGCGACTTCCATGTCCATGACAAGGAGTTTCTTGTAGATGGATCCAGCACACCGCACCTGACTTGGTCTTTGTTTCAGGTCGACTGATTCAGAAGTTAGGGCATAGGGCTTAAGGCCTAGTAGGGTGTAGGGTCTAGGGATTACCTGTAGCAGAAAGGACCTACCTTTTTAAGGAACTACATATAGAAACCACAATAAGGAACCCAAAAAAGGTAGGTCTTTCCGGCTACAGGTCCCTAAACCCTAAACCCTAAACCCTAAGGGTTTAGTGGTGTAGGGTTCAGGACCGCCTGCTCGCTGCCGTGCGCAAAGGCTTTGGAAATACCGAAGTCGGTGAGCTTCACCTGGCAAGCCAGACGCCATGTAAAGTAAAAGCCAGAAAGTTGGAATATGATTATCCTAAACCCTTTATGGTAAATTATAAGGTATCCTACCCTGAAACCATATTCCAACTTTCTGGAGTTTCCTGTAGGTTTGTGTTTTAAGGCTCCTTTTTTCATGTCCGCCAGACAGTCGGCAAGCACTAAGGCCTGAGCAACGTAGGGTTTAGGGCTTAGGCTCTGGGGTTTCTTTCGGGGCATGTCTTTTTGAGTGCGCGGACTGTTCTTGAGCTTTAGGGTTTGGGGTTGAGGCCCTCCACCACGAATTTATCAGGGAACTGTTCCCCACCCCCCTGAAGTGCAGTGGGCAGCCAATGACCGGAAACCCCTAATCAAAATAGGTTAGGGAAGAGCCGGATGTGTACTTCGAACCCCAGAAATCCGGGTGACAAACACTTCAGGTACGGGTGGTGGGATAGAGATGAGGGACTACCCATAGGCCCCAAAGTAGTTCCTTTTTGGGGTTACTTCATAGAGTTCGACATATGAATCCCAAAAAGGAACTATTTTGGGGGCCTTTAGGTAGGGTTGAAGGTCTGGGATTTACGGGTCAGCCCAGGGGATGCTGGATGAGAGTGACTACTCAAGGCTGCAGTGGCTGCTCTGAATGTAGGGCTTAGGGTTTAAAGGGAACTCCAGAAAGTTGGAATATGGTTTCAGGGTAGGATCCCCTATAATTTACCTTAAAGGGGTTAGGATAATCATATTCCAACTTTCTGGCTTCTAATGTAGGGCTTAGGGTTTAGGGTGTATGGGATGGGAGGACGTACAGTGCAGTCGGAATCCACTCAGCCATCCCTCCCAGCCCATGGCTACTCTTCGTCTGACTCATCACTAGAGCAGCATCTTGGGTATAGCACACCTGTGGCCGAAAAGACGTACCTCTTGGGGTTCCCTATTATAGTTTCTATATATAGGTCCTGAAAGAGGTAGGTCTTTTGGGGACAGACAACTATCGCATTAGAAACTATTTGTACCAGGACCAGCTTTCAGAAGGGTCATGTGTGTGTATATATATATATATATATATGAGAGTTTCCGAAATTCGGGGTACCTTGTTTTGGGGTCTAAGTGAACCCTTTGTTAAGCGAACCCTTTAATTTAAGGAAGCTTACTTACTTACGAAGTCCCATGATCCTCCAAGCAGCTCCTCAGCCTCCCAGAGCTACCCCTTAAACCCCAAACCCGAAACCCTACCCCAAGGCTCCTAAGAGGGTTTAGGGTTTCGGGTTTGGGGGTTTAGGGGTTTAGGGTTTAGGGGTTTAGGGGTTTAGGGTTTAGGGGTTTAGGGTTTCGGGTGAACCTAAACCCTAAACTGTAGCCCAGCCTCTCCCGAAGAGTTGTGCAGAATGTTCCTGATGAGGGTGTCTTTTGAGGTTACTTTCGGGAACTTTAAATGGGTCCTTAAAAGGTTCCTCAAAAGGATCCTCAAAAGGTTCCTTAAAGGGATCTAGATGGTGTCTTCCGAAGTTACTTAGGGATACCACAATAAGGGGTACAATATGGGGGCTTTGTTTTAGAATAGGGTTTTGGGGCGGGGCCCATTAAACTACATGTATAATAACGAACCCCAAGAATGGTATAGGCAATTACTACTGTCATTATTGTCATTTACGGGGGACCACAATATGGGTCATACAAGGTTTATAAGGACTGTGATACCATAGCGGGTTCGAAAAGGGCTCTACAAGGCTTCTGTAAAGCTTAGTCACGGACTACTACTTACTACTACAAAAGTGACTAATAAGGGTTACTGCATGGCCTCGAGCAAGCTTCTATATGAGTTCTATTACTTTGAGGATTACTGGTTTAGGCCACTACATAGGTTTTAGCTTCAGGGCATAATGTGCACTGGCTTGGACTTAAAACAACCCTCTGAAAGGACTTCGCACTAAGCCCGCCACCCAACCCCAAAACCTCGACCCCTGCACCCCCTAACCCCTAATTCCTGAACCCCCGAAACCCCTCAAACGCCTAAACCCTAAACCCCGAACCTACACCCTGACATCCCATCCTTTCGGTGTTCGAACCCAAATCCTCGAACTAGGGGGTTTGGTGCCGAGTTTAGCATGCGGGCCGGAGCGTGGAGTCTTTAGGGTTTAGGGTTTAGGGTTTTATTGCTGAACGGGTTCTATCAGTGACCTACAGGAAATTGGAATATGTGGTTACTCTTTCTTCCGCTCCAGGCCATCTATATTAAACCCTAGGCCTATAGGCCCTACTAGTTACTAACTACCTTAAACCCTATATGGGTGGTTGTCAAAATTGAAGTCCCTTTTTGGGTACCCTGCATAATAGGTGCCGTATTATAATGGGGAACCAAAGAGGAAAATAATTTTGACAACCACCCATAGCCTAAACTCTGAAACCCTAGCATCCCTGAACCTAAATCCCACGTTGACCTTTCTGAGGGCAAGAAGCTGTGGCTTGATGTCGCGGTGGAGGATGCTCCTCCCAGGCTTGCGCGCTTTGCTTGACACCTTCGAAGTAGGTTTGGGCTCACTTTAAAAAAGAAAATGAAAGCGAGAGAGAGATAGAAAGAAGGCGAGAGAGAGCGGGAGACCGGCAGGAAAGAAAAAAACACGGGAAGCATTGACGTTGAGCAGAGTAGAGCTGGGGTCGCTTGCAGTGCCAGCTGTGTTGTAACATCACCTCCATTTAGGTTGTCTTCCGGGTTTAGGCCTTACATAGGGTGCAGGGTATGGGTTTCTAAACCCTATAAACTCCACACTAAACGCCGCTATATGGATTCGACCGAGATTGCATGTCTCCGAGGTCGGGACCTGGAATGCAGAAACTCCAGCGCGATCGCAACCTGCGCCGCTGCACCTGGGGCGTTTTGCCGCTGCATATCAGGTTTAGCGTTCTGGGTTTAGGGTATAGGGTTTATGGTTCATCGCATCGGGGCAGCCAGCCACTTAATAGGCCAAAATATTATGGCTATCACGATTTCCAACTCCCATTATTATGAAGCTTTGCCAATATATGCCGTCACCAGCCGGCATCATCAGCAGCACCACCATACATCATTGAACCATCGCCATCAGATCGTAACTGCCCGCTCCATTGATGTACGGTTGATGATATAAATCCTGCGTTACCTTATTCTAGGTAATGCAGGAATTATATCATCAACCGTAGGATTTATCAGACTCAGGCTCTCTCCGACTGGAAACCGATAAGCAAAATCCTACGTGCCCTGGTTGACAGAGATCCGCAGATGTCTTTGTGGCTGATTGTAATTTGATCTATATGGCCTTCAAAACCAGAATAGGACAGGAGTGTGGGGGTTTCTGCCTTAAAGAGGGCATTGGGTATCGTTCGGGTTTGGGGTGGGGTGCTTGTATTGTAGCCTGACTGGTGACTCAACAATACACCGCAGTAAAGACTACCCTAGGCCCCCTGCACCCTCAACCATTAATGTAGGAAGCTAATTAAGAAACCCTGGCCTTGTAATCGCCAAATAGTAGGATTCATATACGGATAAAGACCCAACCCTCATGCAAAACGGAGTTTTTGATCTGGGATCTGGAAGCAGCATGCGCATCAAACACATAGTCACACAGTCATTGAATCCGAAATCCTAAACCCGAAACTTAACTAGGGCTCCAAGAATTAGGATTGCACATTGCGCATTTTATCGCATAATCAACGCCCGTATAAACTAATGATACCCATGTAACATGCTTACGTTCATGTCCTTTTGCGAGCCCCTGATGCTACCGATCTGTCGTCTTTGACGACACGTTTGTTTGCGAGCCCCTGATGTTACCGATCTGTCGTCTTTGACGACACGTTTGTTTGCGAGCCCCTGATGTTACCGATCTGTCGTCTTTGACGACACATTTGTGCAAATGATGTGCGAGGCTCGCTCTGTGCCGCTACTAACACCGCGCGCAAATTTCAAGAATGTGAAACCTCTACAATTCTACATGGGCTTCAGAAGATTCTGCACAGCGCTACTGTCACCACCGGGGGCAGAAGGACCCCAGGTCACGACGGATCCATCACCAAGAATGGCAGCAAAAGCACCGAAAGAGGCTTGGATCTGCTGCACGTGCTTCAGCTGACCCTGCACGGGACGACTGTCACCACCAAAGGCAGCACTGCCCCAAGTCACAACCGATCCATCGCTAAGAATGGCGGCAAAAGCACCTTTAGAGGCTTGGATCTGCTTCACGTTCTTCAGCTGATCCTGCACGGCGCTACTGTCACCACCATAGGCAGCACTACCCCAAGTTACGACCGAGCCGTCGCCAAGAATAGCAGCAAAAGCACCGCCAGAGGCTTGGATCTGTTGCACGTCTTTCAGCTGACCCTGCAAGACACTACTGTCGCCACCAAAGGCAGCACCACCCCAGGTCACAACCGATCCGCCGCCAAGAATGGCAGCAAAAGCTCCGGAAGAGGCTTGGATCTGCTGCACGTTCTTCAGCTGATCCTGGACAGAACCACTGTCGCCACCATAGGCAGCATTACCCCAGGTGACGACCGATCCATCACCAAGAATGGCAGCAAAAGCACCGCCAAAAGAGTCTCCAGCAGCATTGATCAGGTTGACATTCGTCAGCTGTTTCTTCACAGCACTACTGTCACCACCGTGGTTAGAAGGACCCCACGTCACGACGGATCCATCACCAAGAATGGCAGCAAAAGCACCATCAGAGGCTTGGATCTGCTTCACGTTCTTCAGCTGATCCTGCACGGGACGACTGTCACCACCAAAGGCCGCACTACCCCAGGTTACGACCGATCCATCACCGAGAATGGCAGCAAAAGCACCCGCACCAGAGGCTTGGATCTGCTGCACGTTCTTCAGCTGATCCTGCACGCGACGACTGTCACCACCAAAGGCAGTACTACCCCAGGTTACGACCGATCCATCACCGAGAATGGCAGCAAAAGCACCATCAGAGGCTTGGATCTGCCTCACGTTTGCCAGCTGATCCTGCACGGGACTGCTGTCACCACCATGGGCAGCACTACCCCAGGTCACTACCGATCCCCCGCCAATAATGGCAGCAAAAGCCCTCTGAGAGGCTCGGATCTGCTGTACATTCTTCAACTGATCCTGCACAGCACTGCTTTCATCGTGCTTCATACCCCATGTCAACATACCCCAGGCCACGACGGTTCCATCTCCGAGAATGGCAGCAAAACCGTTGCGAGCAGCTTGAATCTGAACTGAGTGTACCTGCAAGGTGAGGGCATCGCCATTCTGCAGCCGTGCACGCTTGATCGGTGAAGATGCATCCAGAACGGTTCCAGACGAGCCCAAGAGCCGCCCACTTCCGACTCCGAGGGAGAGCTCTGCCCGACGCTTCAGTGTTCGCACCTCAGGGGTACCTTATTTTGGGGTCCTTTTAGGAGGGATCCTACTACTTAGGATGCTAAATAAGCGGCCCCTCTTTTAGGGAACCCCCACTTCTTCATTCTCATCAGCGTCGACTGTGACTGTCCTGCCACTGAGCAGCCCGACCTCCAGTGTAATCGACATCTCGCCACGCAGACTTGGCAACTAGGGATATTTATCAAGGTAGCTAGACTCATCATTACTTGTAACTGCTTGCAACTCCAATCATATAAGGTACTGACAACCTTACTTACTACGGCCCACGATTTTTCATGTAGACCCTAGACCAGATCTCTCCAAGGAACCCTTATTAAGGGGACCCTGTAAGGAACCTTACTTGCTACGGCCCATGATCCTTTTTGTAAGAGCCATCGATCGCTGTTGTGGTGCGCAGAAACAAGCGCCATCTCTTCACCACACCCAAGCCTCCTAATACAGGGGCCTTAGAATAAGGGTTCCTTTACAGGGTTCCTCTAAAGGGGTTACTATAAGGCAACTACAAGGGTTCTATACTATGGGAGCCTTAATAATTAGAATAGGGTATTGGGGCCCATTACACTATAAATATAATAAGGAGCCCCAAAGTCATACTAAACCCCACATATACCAGAGTCCCGAACCCCAAAAACATACCCACACCCTCAGCCCCAAAACCACGGAACACCGGATCCCGCACCCCCAAACTTCTACACCCCAAACCATAAAACCAGCCGGCCAACCATCTAAACTCAAATATGTAGAAGCCTTAATGGTGAGAATAGGGTTTGCAGGTATATTATACTATAACAGAAACAAGGAACCCCCGCCAACCCTATTCTAATTATACAGGCCCCTATAGCACCCCCCTAAACCTTAAACCAAGAGCTAAAACCGCTTCAATATCCATCAGCTAAACCCCCAAATCCTACACCCAATACCCACCCTAAACCCCAAACCCCGAATCCTAAACCCTAAACCCCTAAAACCCTAAACACTAAAACCCTAAACCCTAAACCCCAAACCCCTGAATCCTAAACCCTAAACTAAAACCACTTGACACCGTCAGGTTCCACAGAGGTTCCGGCAGCGGAGGCCGGGCAAAGGGACTCGGCTGTCAGCGTCAAGACGCTCCAGAAGATCCTGGGGTTTAGGCTTATTTTTAAAACTCCGTTTTCATGTCTGCCCTTTAGGGTTTAGGCTTTAAGGGCTCTTGGGCTTTAGGGGTTTAGGGGTTTAGGGGTTTAGGGCTTTAGGGGTTTAGGGCTTCAGGGGTCTAGGGTTTAGGGGTTTAGGGTTTAGGGGTTTAGGGGTTTAGGGGGTTTAGGGGGTTTAGGGGTTTAGGGGGTTTAGGGGGTTTTGGGCTTTAGGGGTTTAGGGGGTTTAGGGGGTTTAGGGCTTTAGGGGTTTAGGGGTTCAGGGGTTTAGGGCTTTAGGGGTTTAGGGGTTTAGGGCTTTAGGGCTTTAGAGCTTCAGGGCTTTAGGGGTTGAGGGGCTTAGGGGTTTAGGGCTTTAGGCCTTTAGGTGTTTAGGGGTTTAGGGGCTCAGGGGTTTAGGGCTTTAGGGCTTTAGGGTGTAGGGCTTTTGGGCTTTCGGGGTTTAGGGGTTTAGGGGTTTAGGGCTTTAGGGGTTTAGGGTTTCGGGCTTTAGGGCTTTAGGGGTTTAGGGGTTTAAGGGTTTAGGGGTTGAGGGGTTTAGGATTTTCGGGCTTTAGGGCTTTAGGGGTTTAGTGTTTAGGGCTTTAGGGTCTAGGGCTTTAGGGCTTTAGGGTTTAAGGGTTTAGGGTTTAGGTTTTATATGCAGGCAGGCTTGGGACAATCCAGAAGCGAATCACTTGTGGATCAACTACAAAAGGCATGACGGCTCCCAGGATCCAAAGAGATCTGTACTGTCTCCAGAGCACATCAAAATCCTCTAACATACAAGGACTAGGGACACGCGGTGCACTTGGCGAATAAACCTTACCAAGAGCCTTCCGAAATGGTGCCTAGGGTTCAGGGGTTTAGGGGTTTATGGTTTAGGGGATTAAGGTTTATGTAGGGGTTTAAGGTTTAGGGGATTAAGGTTTAGGGGTTGTAGGGGTTTAGGGGTTTGGAAAACATGGAGCCACTGGGCCGACTTGAGGGAATATTCTGAGGTTGATGTATAAAGGGGTTGCGTTTAAGGGCTCTATGAGGGTTGAAGAAGATTTTTTGGGCCCTAAACCCTAAATAGACCGATTGAGGGATTATCCAAGCAGTGGTTCTGGTGTTCCCTTGGCTCTTTGGCTCCGTACTTCATAGGAGTTATCATCATCCCTGGCGCCTTAGCTCCTCCAATGTCAATGGCTAGTTATTCTGAGGTGCATATGGGAGTTTCCGAAAACTAGGGGTACCTTATTTTGGGGTCCTTATAATAAGGATCCTACTATTTAGGGTACTATAGTAGGGTCCCCTATATTCGGAACTCCCATATATACAGGTTTCCTTTAAAGGGCTCTATAAGGGTACCATAAGGGTTCAGGAAGATCCCGTGAGCCGATTTGAAGCTTTATGACTTTTAAAAGGTTTGAAGCTACTGGGTTTGCAACTTTTGGGTGAGGGTTTAGTGTTCGAGGTTAACCCTAGGCATCTGAGGACTCATATATTAAGGCTTTTGGGCCCAAAGACGATACCATATAAGGCTTTTGGGCTATTTTGATGCCCAGGGTGATATGGGGTTGAGGACCTAAGGTTTACATGGGATGCTGAGGTCTATCTGCAGTTTTTGGGGTTTATGTACGGCAGAGTTGGGGGTATTTCATGCTACATCTTTACAGGTGATCCGCAAGCCGTATCGGGCTTAAGGTTATGGGGTTTGCGGCTTAAGACGTAAATCGGGTTTGGGGTTCATGTGGAGTTTAGGGTATAGGGTTCAAGGGCTACGGCGTACACAGAGTGCTCGGCTCTAACACAAAGGACACGATAACCATATCACTATTCTGATGCGTGACACGAATTAAGGAGGCGTTAAGTGATGATTCTGCTCACCTTGTCAGAGATGCGGCATGGTTTGAGGGCAGCATAAGGTGGGATGAAGGCTGCTCGGGTGAAGAGCATACCCTTTTCGGCCAGAGAGTTGACGTAAAAGATAAACTTTGGATTCCTATGCTATTTTAGGGGTGCCTTATATATAGTTATAGTATGATGCGCGACCAAACCTTAGTCTAATTAGAAGGGCTCCGACATCATAGAGCCCTCATATTGCATTGTTGGTAGCTCTATGTCATCTTTCGAGGCTGACACAAGGACAAGCTCGCAAAAAGCACTGGGTCTCGCGCTGCCAGGCTACCCAAGTCCATAAACTCAAGCACCTTAGGGGCCTTAATCCTTAGAATAGGGTTTGGGGATATAGTATGCTTACTATACTTAAAACACGAAGGTGGGCTCAGGGTTTAGTGGCTACGGGCGGCTACAGGTTGACAGATTAGCATCTGAAGCTTTTGTTTCTGGGTGTGTCAAGACAGGACTCGGCGTGAGGGTGTAACTTGGGATTCATCATGCATCTGGGATGACCATGCCGGTAAACCCTAAACCCCTAAACCCTAGAACCCTAAATCCTGAATCCCTAAACCCTAAACCCCTAAACCCTAAACCCCTGAACCCTAAACCCAAACCCCCTAAATCCTAAACCATTAAACCCACATGTAATTCATGACTGGTGCTTCAGCAATGCCGGCCCGAAGCCTGCCACCTGCAAATTTCGGAGCATGGTCACACCCGATACGATCCTTTTCCCTGACCCCCGGGAGGATGCAGCCTAATTTGGGGCCCTGTACTACTCAGGGTACTGTATAAGATACCCCATTAAGGGATCTACTTTTTAGATCCTCCAAGGGGTCTGGGCGGAAGCGTTTACGTCTTTGGTTTGTCTGACATTGTAGACACCTCATAACAGGAGCTGAATACAAAGACCCCCGCATTGCAAAAAGCACCGGCGCGTGTCAAGGAGATTCTGGGAATCCTGAAATCTAGACCTGAAACTATAAACCCTCCGACACACTCCTACCCAAAGCGCTGCCAAGGATGTGGCCACATGAACCAATCTGGACCCACCACCTTCCGCCATGCCTGCCTCGGCGCTGTCGCTGCTTCACATAGAGAGCTTGGGGAGTGAGTTCTAGGTTTGGGCTGTAGTCTTTTGGGGTATCTTATACTATACGTATATTAAGGAGCACCAAAACAGTATAGGTACTTGTTTTCAGGCCCTTATTGGTTTTGTTTGAGACTACGATAGCGGAGGGGTCTGGGGTCATCATCAACAGATGTTGGGGTTGCGGGCCTGGGGCTTAGGGTTCAGGAGGTACAGGGTTGGTTAAGGGTTTAGGGCCTGACAACTAGAATGAGGTTTTGGGCAGGCACAGTATAGTTTCGAATAATGAGGGGCCTTGGGGAATCAAGCTAAAAGCTGTTCAGGCTTCTATGTTTGGCAGCTTTCCTTAAACCCCATTCCGCTACCATTCTAGCCAAGGCTGAGAGACATGTCCGACAGCTGCACGTCTGGAAGGTGTCCTCTACGCCTATCCTCGTCCTTACATCTCCACACGTATCCTTCTCCTTACATCCCTAAACCCTAAACACCTAAACCCCAAACCCTAAACCCTAAACCCCTAAACCAAAAAACCCCTAAACCCTAAACCCCTAAACCCTAAACCCCTAAACCCTAAACCCCTAAACCAAAAACCCCTAAACCCTAAACCCCTAAACCAAAAACCCCTAAACCCCTAAACCCTAAACCCCTAAACCAAAAAACCCTAAACCCTAAAGCCCTAAACCCTAAACCCCTAAACCAAAAACCCTATCTCCTGACCCGTTCGGCTTAATGGTTAGAATATGGTTTTGGGCCCCCCCCAAATAGCGTTGGTAATTATTTTAGCCCCTTAGGCAGTAAGCTTAATCCTGAGTCCAAACTTCCTGGAGCTGGGCCATGCGCATACCACTGGACAAGGCATTCGCAACCTTGCGCCTGTTAGCCGGTTCAGGTTTTTTTTTTTTGTTATGGGCTCTTTTCCGCCTGCAGGTACAGTTAGAACTCCTATACTAGGAGGAGCCTGTGGTTGGGACAGGGTTTGGGGTTTAGGGTTTGGGGTTTAGGGGTTTTAGGGTTGAGGGTTTTGGGTTTGGGGTTTAGGGTTTAGGGTTTAGGGGAGA